GGGTCGACAATCGGTCTCGGCATTTGATCGGTCGATGGTTTCAATACAGTTTCGTCGTGTGCAGAGAATACTCCACGAGACGAAGAATTTTCTCGACCCCACCACTTTCTCACCGGCGGAGCCTTCGAGGTCTCTGTGGAGATCCGTGTTCGTTTGCTGATCTACGCATCCGCTCAACGACAACGCACGACGGCAGGCTACTTGGCAAGCCGACTGGTCTGCCGGACGGTTGGTCGGTCGGTCGGTTGGTCGGCTGCTGTGCATCCAACTAGAACTGGAGGACCGAACTAATCCGCCGTCTGCCCAGTCCATTGGCCTCTGAGCGTCTAGACAGATATTTGTTTCTCTTCGCTACGTCTTCTCGCTCGACAGTCTAGCCGACCGATCCAACAAAGTGACGGTGAAGGCATGTTGTCTGGATGCTTCTGCCAGTCTTCCTCCACTTGCATATATTTTATTTTCCTCGCATCCTGTCCAAGAGCATGTGGGAGATTTCCAGCCGATAAACGTTCGTGTCTGAGTGTTATTATCTCTAGCGTACCGCGCAGTTGCTTTCGCTGCTTCCCGAATCCATCAGCATATTCGCGTTAAAAATGTACTTCGCAAATAATTTAAACGCAGGCGGTCCGAACGAAGACTTCGATTGGTCGATACCGGTGCAGTGTACCGAGTCCGACCGACAGAGGTCTGGCTCAGCCTTGAGAAGCTGGAAATCACCAGAGGTTCGACAGACAGGCCCCATTTATCATAACTGGGAGTCTTCTCGGAGCGGAGTGATTCGACTGTTTCGAAATGCTCCCAGCACCGACTGAGAACGCTGCGATTCTCCTCGATCGAGCAAATCACCAGCGAACAGGAGGCTGGTGACGAATGGGGCCAAATCAGGGGTGAAAACGACTGAACCTTCGGACTTTCGGCTCCCTGAAACCTTCACCATGGTTGCGACCTCATCCCACGAGTCTCGCTCTGTTCGATCATTATTCTCCGCTCTCGGAGTGCGACCTGCGGACTCGGAGATTGATTCTGCTGGGCAAATATTGTTCTCTGACCTTACAGGCTCTCCCATTACGAGTCCATTCACAAGTGCGTTCGCAAGATCCTTTCGAAACTCTGCTGACACGTAGCGGATGTAATTATCCGACATCAGGCAGTGTCTGAAATGAGCTTCCCCGGCTGCTCCTACTACGACTTCCTCCTACAACACGATTCTCGATATTCCGACCCTGATCTCATTCATGCCGGGAGATTTTTTCCCGGATCGCCATTTCTCTGTTCACATCCGATTCGATTGGAGCTTCCGCCAATTAGTCCGCTCTTTGCGCGGAGTACACATTGGAGGAACGGAATCAGGGCTCACAGAAGATGAAATCAATTCAGTCAGTCGAACACCCTGAGCAATCGGAGCTGTATACTGAAGGTTCCTAACTAGCGAGCCCAATCAATTGAGGCAGACGCTCTAGGCAGACGAACAAGAATGTTGGATAAGCCGAGAGGATAAACATTCTGTGAAGCATAATAATCAAGTCGAACTCAGAGTTGATGCGTAATATTGAGCCGCAAGCGTTCGCTGAAGTTCTAATCAAACGCCGATGCTCTTCCCCGAGCGGAACCGCCCAGCCGCGACCACCATCTAATTACAAAAGCTCTGGCACAGCAGTTTACGCTCGAGCGTGCCAATGAGCACAGACGACTCCTGACTGCGGTGAAGGCTTCTGGAGCCGGCCCGAAAGCCGTGACGTCACTCATTGCCCCGCGGACAGCTGACCATTCCAATCAAGGCACCTGGAATTGCCTCGGCCGGACGTATTCCCCTCGGAACAGAACCTCCGCTGTTTTTCGGCACGACTCGACCAAACTCTGTTCCCTCGGAAGCTACGGTTACTCGCTTGTGTGTCATTTATTTACCTGCGGTCTCTCCAGACTGAGGACGACCCTCGGCGGAGCTCCCTCCCATGCACCCGGGACCCATGGCTGGATGAAAAAAACATGGTGGGAAAAGGTCGGGTAAGCACCGAGCGGAACAGCCGAGCGACAGACGAGCCGGTCGGCCGGCAGACAGACGAGTTCATCGGCCTTCGGTTGCTCGGGTGTCTGTCTGGCGGAGTAAGAGCGCGTGTCTGGCTGGCGACCTTGGAGTGACGTCACACGGTCTGCAGCTCTCGGAGTCGAGGCCCTGCAACGTTCCATGTCTTCTGCTGCTCCTATAAAAAATCTGTTTATGTCTTTTTGTAAGGAACAGCTCTCTTCTGTCTTGTCGGCGTCTTATCGTGCCCGTGAGGATTTTCGTCTACTTCTTCCCTACTGTCTACTTCTCCCCTGCTTCCCCCCTTTTCCGTTCACTTGAGGACCCTCGGAGTCGTTGTCAGCTACTCGAACTCCCCTCTTCCCTGACACTCGGGTCTCTTTCCCTGCTCCTGAGAATCCTCCGCAATGCTCAACCAGTCTATCCCCTCTGCTCACCAAGCTGAGTGAGAAATCTCTATATACCACCCGATGGGGACGGCCTTCTCCATCGGAACACCGTTTCGGTTCCCGATGGAGACCGTCTGCGCTTCGGGCGTATATAGAGGGTGGAAGAGGATGAAACATGACGTCCAGGGGCGTCGGATTCAGAGGGGCGTAATGGGGTAAAAACTAAGCCCCGGACAAGGAAGGAAGCCTGTCGGTGGCGACGGGCGCAGACCGGTCTACGGCAGCCGCCGCTCTTGTCCAAGTATTGCTGACTCAGAAGAAAAGGGAGGAGTGGAGGAAAATCAAGGAGGGGGAAAACAGGGAAACGGGAAAGGGAGAATGAGCGGATGGGAGATGGAAAAGAAGATGCCTGAGAAAAAACTCGAGGGGGGACGAGGGAGGGGAAGGGCAGCCGGAAAAGGGTAGATCGCAAAGCGATCGAGATTCGCGATGTGAACTCTTTCGGAACCAGAAGGAAGACCGAATCTCGACGTTTCGAGTAGAGAGGAATCCGCAAGCTTGTATACCTGGACCTTTATTGGCTGGATTCAGCGTTGAGCAAGAAAGAAAACGATACTTCGACGTTCGGTTTTCTGTTCGGCCAGCTAGGGAATGATCCTCGATGAGAACTCCTCCTACAATAGATTCAAAACTTATACAAGATCCTTCGTCCGATTTTCTTCTTGTCCGAGGTGGAAGCCTATCTCTGCTAGTCCCTGTTTTCCTTCGGCTGGTTAATTCTCGGGGACTCGCGCGCTTTCCAATCATGCGGGATTATTTCACAATATACCCAGCCTGAGACCGTATTCGCAATCCAGAGATTATCGATGATTATAATATTATGATACGTCTCCCAGAGATTTATTACAGAAATCGCCGAGACCGGCGCTCACAAGGAAAATGCGCGGTAAAAGTCTATTCGTCGGACGAATCGAATTTCCCGGGAATTTTTCCGGAACTCAGTCAGTTGTAATTCTCCCCGAGAGCGTTGGGAGTATAGCTGTTTGAGTGAGAGCCGGCCGATGAATCCGCGACACTTCTGCTCCACTTCTGCTCGAATCCTCCATAGGCAATGTAAGGTAGTTGATCCGAATGGTTTCCCAGTCTTCCACCCTGAACCTCTGGCTCGGCGCCATCGGCACAGAGGGGGGGGGGGTATTCGACGGTACCACGTGTACCATCGAAGCAGTGGATACTTTGACTACTCTCCATTAACGAGTGATCTCAGGCACTCCAGAAGGACAGAGAGGGAGAAGACGCGATTGGCGCAGAAGTTCGCAACTCCAAGTTGATCCCAAACTCTCGCGTCCAACTTCGACTCCCGGTATCATTGACTTTTCCCGCAACTTGATTCGACGCCTACTCGGAGAGCTTTACTTTTCATCGAGCCCACGTATCGTATTGTTATCTTGATCAGCGTCAGCGGCCGATGTGTCGCGAGGATATTCGCGTTGCATACCCTATAACTCGCCCGCTCGTCGAATCACTTGAGTGGCTGACTGGCCGACTGACTCACTGACTGAGTGACTGAATGTCTTTCTGTCTGTCTGGCCGGCCGGCTAGACGGTGATAGTCCGTCTGAGTAGGGGAAGGTTACGGAGCGGGAGAGGGTTTCCAAGCAGGGAGGAGAGCTAAGGTTGCTGTACCGCTGCTCTTGCGGACTGTCTGCCGACCGGTTGGCTGTGTGTCTGTCGGTGTTTCCAGGCGTTCGTACGTCTGTCCACCAGCCAGCCGTCTGTCCGTCCGTCCAACCGCTTGGCAAGGAGGCAAGCTCGCTGACTAGCCGCTTGGTTAGAAAGCGGGCTGGCTGACTGCCTGCTCGCCGGCCGGCCGGCCCGACTGTCCGCCGCTGGCAGACAGACAGCCAGGCAAGGAAGCCAGCCGGTACGCACGCTCACCCAACCATCCGCTCGCCCGATGGTAAGGGTTGGTTGCTTGTGTCTGGCTAGCTAGCTGGCTGTTAGACTGGCTGGCTGGCTGGAGAGCTAGCCGCTTGCTTGGAAAGCAGGCAGCGAACGGTACGCCGACGACCGAGTGAGTGAGCAAGCGAGCGAGTGAGCGAACGAGCACACCGTCCAGCCGATAGCCGACAGACAAGGCGATAGCCGGTCGGACGAAAGCTCGCTGGGCTGCTTGGCAGGGCTGGCGCATCGACGTCGCACGTGCCACGATAATCAGAATTGTTCGGCCGAAGTTTTTTGAACGCTCGCCGTCGGAGCGTAAGCTGAAAAGCGAAACGGTGGGAATCACGAGACGAAACCGCTCCGAGCTGCAGGAAGCCTACGCTGAGCTCTTCGAGTGTCAATCAGCTGAGAGCAAGACCACCCCTGCCGGGTGTTTGAATTTCGGCCCGAAGTTCAAGTTCTCGCCGTGAACTCGACAGCTTACCCACGAGAATCTCAAGCATCGTCGATTGTGCAAACCGCTTGGAACGTTCGAATTGTTTCCGAGGAAACTGAGTGAGTGTTCGATTGATCTCTTCGTCTATCGATCAGGTGCTCGATTGGTTGATGGAGTGATCTCGGATCGACGGAGTCGTGAAGGAGTCTATTGCGTGAGAGGCGACCGCGTTCGAGCATCTCCACGGTCCAGCGAACTCTAGTCGCTCATCGTTATCAGCACGCAGGAATTCATTCCGTGCGGAAGTGTCCACTTCAGTCCGGGATTCTCATTCTCGTTGTTCTCTGTGCCATCTGTGTTGTTTTTCGACGTCTCAGCCAGCTCTGCGACGACTTGAAAATGTGCACCATCGTCGAAGGAACGACAAGAAGTCGACATCATCCCTTCTAGTAGAGGATTCCATCGCGGATCTCCGCTCTAGTACAGTGAGTGTCCACTGGCGAGGTGTTCAAGTGCTAAGCAAATATTCCTCGATGTTCTTCTATCTTGAGCGGTGCGGATGCGGGTGTTTTCGTGAGCGGTCTTGGCAAATTTCGCTTGAAGCAGAAAAGCGTCGCTAATATCACCTGAAGGTTGTGACGTCTGGATTAGCGGGGAATCTCTGCGGAAATCAGGCAGTCTTCTGCGAACACCAAGGCTGGCGTTCGTCTTTCCGAGACGTAGATCGGCCCGGGTACGATTTTTCCAGGGCGTCGTGGCCGCTCGTAAAGTTTTGGGTCGTGATTCTAACGGGCATAAACAAATAACGTGTTCCCTGTTAGGCTGCTCGTGCTCATATCATTCAATCAGAGAGCGCGTATCAATCAGCGATCATCTCTTTTGAAGATAGCGGTTTTTTCAACCGACGAGCAACAGGGATGCATCGACAGGCCAGCCGGCGGTCCGACCGACAGGCGCGATGCTGCTCGAGACGACCGACCGACGACAAAGACTCATAAGCAAATACGCAAGAATCTCTACATGAGGACATCCAGACAAACAGCTAGTCAGTGACTCTTTCACTGAGTGAGTAAGTGAGGTCAAAGTGCATCAGTAGAAGAAATTCCTTTTCTCGCGAATGAATTACCTTGGGAATACTTGTCGCTGTCTCGCCAGCTGGACAGGGAGTCGATCGAGGAGTCCGTTCACTCTTCCTTTCCGCGGCGTTCGGGCTGGTTGCCACGAAACCGTTCACGTAGAAAGAAGTACCCTTTCGAGAGCGGTTTTGGCATCGCACCGGCCTACGACCGATCGCCAGTCCCCAGGACCCCTTGTGAATAAGCGACCCTCGTCTGAGAGTCGAGCGTAACCCCCCCTCTCCCCCCGTGCCCGGCTCCGTTATATTTCTAGCGAGAACTCGGCGGATAGATCCTCTTCGTGACGAGGAGATGTGGCGTTTTTCGACTCTGGATCCGGGTCCCCCCCCCTCGTGCCAGACCTCAGGGCCCGGACCTCAGTTGATTTCGTGAATTCGCTGTGTGGGGGTGAGAAATTCCCGTCCGAGAAATCGTCTGCAGCAGGAAACTTCTAGAATTCAGAGTCCATGGCACGGCAACTCGCTGCTTCGTGCCTTTGTGAGAGAACCCGATTCATATAGACGACGGACACTTGGTCTATAGGTCAACTTTGCGCAAGGCACTGGGACAATCGGACCGTCAGTCGAGCGGACGTGTTGGTAGCCCGACGTTGACCCACAGACGGTGGGCAGTCGAATAGCGTCGAGTCTGCCCGACGTTCGCCGTGTTGATGGTCTGTCGGTGGTTCGGTTGAGACGAAAGACGCAAGCGAAGCGGCAACACCCGTCCGTCGAAGTATTTGACGTTCTTTGAACGAAAAGAACGTCAGTCCGCAACAAGGGGTCAATGCGTGCTGGATATGGCCTGATTTCGAACGATCGGGGCGCAACTTTTTTTTGTGGTCGATCGACTTCTCATGAATTGTTGACGCGGCGACCTTCTGGCACTTCGACCGGCTCTTCTCGTGGCTGAAAGACTGCCGTTCCAACGGAAGAGGTTTCCGATGGAAAACCGATTTTTGCGTCGCCAACGAAGCTTCGCTGGAGACCCTCGAACGTTTGATGGGAAATGAGAAAAGAACTCAGCCCGGGTTCGGGGTTCCTCGGGCCATCCGACTGCTCCGTCTAGGAACTCGAGCATCGGTGCTCGACGTTCATCCACCGGGGAGAAATCTACAGATCGTTTCGCATTTGAGTGGTCTGTATCCACATGAGCGCCTCGAAAATCGGGCTGCGGCTGAAAGTAGCGTCGAAACAGAAGACGCTAGCCCAGACAAGCGAGCCTTTACAGTTTCAAGGTTGACGGATCCGATTTCTTGTCTGTCTGAGCGCCGACTACGGCATCACGACACCCAGCGGATCTACCGTGGGGCAAACAGTCTGCTCGCCCGAAAAAATACGGTCGGTCGCTCGGATGTTCGCAGAGATTTCAAAATCGTATGATGATCGAAATCCGCCTCAATTGCGTAATCGATTGAGACGCGCGAGTACGTTATTCGTGAGCTTCTGGTCAGAAGATGCATAAGTCACAAATCGAGAACGCTGTATCGTATGTAGGTCTCTGGCACTATCCCGGACTCGGAAATTCCACGGAGGGAGGGACTGCTGAGCCCAGTCCGCGCAGAGTCGACCTGACACGGAGGTCAGGCGACTGAGCCAGACGGAAATGCGCACATAATGCACGGTGCTCATTCTGGTTTGCGATGGTTACGACCTGGGTCGTTGCCTGTCGTCAAGGTGGAATCGCATTGTGGCTGAGGGATGATGTCGACGACGGCGTCGACCGACGCCAGCGCCCACAATGAGAATAAACAATCAGAGAAGTATTCAGCTGTTCTAGTCCGACGGCTTAGCTGTACCACGACGACGCACGGTCGATCAGTCGGTCAGCCAGACTGCCGAACAGCAAACTAAGCAACTCTCTAGTCGGTCCAGCGTTCGGCTGCTTGGCTGGCTAGCTAGCTGGATGGTTGGTTTGTCGGGTGGTCTGTCCGTCGAGCGGCGGGCGGGCGGTTGGCCTAGTCGGATCGAGCCGACTCGAGCCAAACAGTCAGTCAGCCAACTTGTTCTGAGTAACAGATGAGTCACTCATTGTTCGGCTGTCTAGCCGCCGTCTAGAATTTTGCTCGACGATACGACATGAATGGAAAACGCTTGCTGGCGGAGCGTGCCGTTTCGAAACGCCGACCGTTCGGGCGTGACGTTCATCTGGTATTTGTGCCGCATGCAGGGAGTCGTCTAGAGTATAAGAGCAGAAAAGTAAAGAATAACATTCGGCTGATCGAGGAACAAGATAAACATCGTTGGGGGAAAACCGGGGAGTCGACGTTTGTGACGCGAGCGTTTGACGGGGATGTTGTACGAAAAGCTCACCCCCCATCCAAACATGATTGAAATCAACAGTTCGTTCGGTCGCACGTCATTACTTGCTGAGGTCACAGACGTGGGAGGGAAATTTTTTCCCCTAGGGAGGAGAAGACCTTTGGAGGAGGAACTAACGAGGAAAATATCGGGTCTCAGACAAATGTCACGGAAGACGCGTACGGTACGAAGTGAATAGGGAGCTTCGGTTGTTTTCCACGACTGCTTGCGGGAACAGGGAATACAATATCTGTCAACATCCGGACCATAACGATCTTGTGCAGGAAGCCAGAAGACGGCGGAAAAAAGCTCTGGAATATATTTCGGGATCGGTACCACGTAGTTCTTGTAGACGAGACCTATCCACTCGCTCGTCGAGCGAGTCGTGTCGGTCGGTCGGTGTGAAAGCGAGCCTCTTACGCTCGACCTGACAAAGGTCAGTCACGCAGAAAGAATAAAACTCCGTTCGAATCCTGGCCGCCGGCGACTTCCAATAGCTACTCGGTCTTTCCGACACCGTTTAATTTGATCGAGTCAGACGGACGGCTCGCCGGCCGACCGGCCGCCGGCCACTCGCTCGCTCGCTTGCTGGCTTGATGAGTGAGTGAATTGGTTTTACGGTCTCAAGTCACCGCGGTCGAATTTCTCGGTGTCTGGAAGGGTTTGAACTGACTTGGAAATCAGAGCAAGAGAACCGTAGCGTCCTCCACATGGTTCACGGGGATGACCCGGGAACATCGCTCGAACAAAACGAGGGAGCACGCTCGCTACGAGAGCTACCGAACCAGCAGCGGGCACGGAACCGGTGGCTTCGACTGTATAGAAGCTTGCGAAAATGGCAGAGGCCGCAGCAGAGATGTTGACAAGAACCACGGCGGTCGGTGTGCGTGCGTGTGTGTGTGAGCGACTGTGTGAGTGGACCTTGATCTGTGGAGCCGTAAAAAGCACCGACCGCCCAACGATAGGCAGACGGGATAGGAGACACTGTGCTTGCTAACTATGCGCTCGTTCGCTGCCATCGTCGCCGGTAGGCCAGCCCGTCTTTCAGCGGCCGGCGCTGGCGAAGAAAATTCCGTTCTCCTCAATAAGGAAGTGCACCATTTTCGCTTGCAGTGGTTCTGGTACCGTTGATGAAAGGTTCGCCCGGCTGGTCTGAATCTCCAACGAATTCCCGCGCACCATCGTTGTCGCCACCCACCTCTTCAAACGCCTCATCGGAGTCGTCTGTCAGATCTACCGCCAGCGGTGCGACTGCCAACTCGGACACCGACTGTCTCACACCTCCGGAAATGGGCTCGAGTTCCTGCTGCAGGACCAACCACGTCTACGAGAAGGTACGTCTCACCGGATCCATGGGGAATCCCCCTCTCCCGGAGCGAGTCTGGGAGCTTTTCTTATCCCGTTTCCTAAACACACGTGGAGGAGATTCCGCCGCCTAATCATGGGTTGTCCCAATTTTCCAGGTCCCCTCCCTGGGCTACTCGCAGTGCGTACAGTCATCGACGGACGACAGCCTTGCCGTGTACGTACACGTACGGACGTCTCCGAGCGCTAGTCCGATCTACGCACCTGAGAAGGTCGAGCAACGACAGAAACACGCCTCGAGAGACGCGCAGATACGGTCGAGCTCCACGCGCCGTGACTTGGCGTTCAACTTACCTCAGCATGTGAGATCACGACCCCATGACGATCCCTTGCCACACAGCCACCACGGTCGTAAGCACCCTCCGCACGAAAACTGCGTCCAACCCCCGCCAAATCGGAGTCCATTCACGCCGAACACCGCGTATTCGTCGAGACTGAACCCGGCCTACAGTAGCAGTAGCTGTAATAGTAGCAACGGCAACGGTTCCAGTAGCAGCGTGGGTTCGAGTAGCAGTAGCAGTAGTAGCAGTTCGAGCAGCGGCGGGAACAGCGGTAGCCGGACACATCCGGCGATTCGGACCTCAAATTATTCAACACCAGCGGCCGCTAGATATCCCGGCTGCGGTGGGAAAAAAGCCATTTGACACATGGCGAAAAACTTATGGGTTCAATTGTTGTAGCTTAAAGTTTGTCTATGGATCAAGCAAGCGGGCAATCAATCAATCAGTCAGTCATTCTCGAGTTTCAATCATTCGACGACTTAGAGAAGTTCGAGGAGATTGACGGAATCGCGCGAGACCGGGATTGCGGGATGGGATTCTGCGGACGAAGAAATCACGTGTTAGATGATGAACATTATTTATGAATTGCGCACCGATTCTCATCAAACCGAAAGCGGCAAAGTCTCCCGCGGAAGAAAAGAATCGTGATCGATGGGTTTCCGTGAAACAGAGAGAGTTGGAGGATCGAGATGGAACGAAGATGACGAACAAAATTGTAGGAACAAAATACTGAAAACAAGACGAAGACAACACCTACCTAAACTAGAAACGTGCTTCGTCGACGTGTTACTAGCCCATTTCCAGCTTTCTATGCAGATTTGTATTCTTTCTACGTGGAGTACGCGGAGCGATCCGCTGATTATGCGATAAGATGAACAAAGAAGTTCGATAATAATAATCTCAATTCTGACTCCCCTCTCTTCCCATCTCGGCGGCACTTCCCGCTTATGGATCCTTTGTTCGATGAGCCATCTCGCCCATACTGAGTCGACGTCTTACGTTCCTTCCGAGTGGAACTGAGTTTTTCTCCCCCTCAGAACTCTCTGAAGTTCCTCAATATGCACGCCTTGTTTCCCTGCATCTGCTCCTCTGGAACTCTCTCGTATGTTAGCGAAATCTTCCCCCTCTTTTCTCACTCAGATTGAAGCGTCGATTAGCTGTCGAACAAAACGACAGATATAAGTCTGTTCATGGTTTGTAAATGCGGTATACGAATACGGAAATCATCATCATCATCAACATCATCAGGGATCTGACAACTTGGGTCATTATCCCGATATCAGTATGGATATAGATGATCCGTTGAGTATTTACTCGGTGAGGAGGATCCAATGAAAATACCTGTGAATAGTTGAATTAAAATATATGGTCGTAGCAAAGAATTTAGTCAGGCCAGGAGTGAGAACGCATAAGGAAACGAGTTCTAGATGTCCACGCAGACATCGGATCGTAGTCAGTCAAGTAGACTTCGGGTCGAGAAGAAACAGAATCGGATTTGAATAATGGAATGAGCTAGTGCTTCGAGCTGGCGAACATACTCCTGGAAGCAGAAGGCAAGGAATTTGAAAATCCGATTAGACTCTTGTTTTTTTTTCTACAAGGCGAAAGAGCGGATGAGGAGTTTGTCTGTGAATAAACTTCTTTGTACATATGCACCATTACTTCGTGTTCATCGTGAATCCTTGAAGAACTGCTTCTATAATAATCAGCAGTCGGGGGGCATCGCAGCATACGATCTTTCGAAACTAAGGCGGATCCAGAACTCTCGTTTCATGAATGCGGGGGAGGGGGAATTTCAAGGCCGTTCCAGCGCAATCTCTAAGGGGCGGGCGACGAATCTCCGATGATGATCCTCCACTCGAAGCCCTACGGACCGCAGCGCGGGGACGGGGAGTCTTGGTCGAGGGAGCAACAAGCTAATGTAGGAAATTATCAGATTCCGGCAGCGAACTTTATTCCATTGCTCTAGATTGTACGCACAACTGCTCAAAATGCAGCACAACTTTCGTATGAATATTTATCATCTGTTCCCAGCAACTAGACTCATCCATACCATGAAGTTATCAACATTCAAAGATCTCAGAGATCATCGAGAGGCGCCATGTCGTTTCATATTAGCTGCGAGAAAATAGAAGCGGGAAGCGTTACGCAGTCGCCCTGACGTCTGAACGTCTTTGACAATTATTTATCGTGACGAGGGCCGCTCCAACGATTTCGAATTCTTCATTTTCAAAGTTCTGGACTTTGGCCTCGCTGCGCCTGACGTGCGCGGAACTTGGCCAAATTATTTTCGGCACTAGCGGCTCGAGCTTCGGAATCTTCGAGTTCCTGCTGACACTTGCGGTACTTCGCAATGTTCATCGATGCAATTTCCTCTGCTTCTTCGATCTGTCGCTGATATTCCCTGAGTTTATGTTGCATCTTCTCTACAACGTCCTGGAGTCGCTGGTGGTGTTTTTGATCCTCTTCAACCTGCAGAGCACGGGCGATGTCAGAAACGATATGTTCCACCCACCGGAAGCTCGTATCTTGCTCCCGGTCCGACCTCCCGAAAAAATCGGGCAGACGGGAAACGACTTAAAATGGAAATTTCGCAACAGGAAATAATTGAAAACAGTTCTCTTGCCTGAAACATGAGCTCCTTGATGCGTCGCTCGTCTTTTCGATAGTTTTTCGCAGTGTCCGCGTGTCTCCTCTTCTCGTTCTCCAAGTCGACAGCGGCCTCGCGACACTTGGCCTCAAGCGCGGCGATCTGTTTCCTCCCGGCGGCCAGAGCAGCGGCTTCAGCGTCGTCGAGTCGTTGTTGGAGTTCGCGCATCTGATGCTCGATGTTCTTAACTTGCTTCTCCATTTGAGACGAATGATTCTGTTCCTGAGCGAGACTATCCGCTAGCTGCGCACAGTCCACCATGGCTTTCTTTGAAATCTCCTCTTGATTCCTCAGCGCGACAATCGTCTCCTCGAGGTCTCCCTGCAGAGCAACCAACTCTCCTTCGAGTTTCCTCCTCTGCAGCGAGAGAGTGGCGATGAGGGCGGCGTTTTCGTTCGCTTGGTTTCGGAGCTCCTCTACTTCTGCTCCGGCAGCTTTTCTCCCGCGTTCGGACTGGTCATACAGCTGTTTTGTTTCCTCGAGTTCGCAACGTGTCTGGTTATAACGGCGCTCGGCAGCCGTGTATGCCTTGCGTGCTTCGTCATGCGCGATCTGCTCTTGCTCGAGAGTGTTGTGTAATTCGTGAACCTGCAGACGGGAAAAAAACATTCTTGAGCATTCCGGACGCAGTCGATCATTGAGAAAATCGGTGATCATCAGAGTCGAATCGCAATTGAAATCTCACGGTGTCTTGGTATCGTTTTATCGTGGCCTGCGCTTCAGATATCGCTTTGTTGGCGTTGTCGAGCTCAATTTCGAGCTTGCTGAGGTCGATTTCGAGTTTTTTCTTCTGTCGCAAAGCCTCGGCTTTGCCACGAGCCTCCGACTCGAGTGCGGCTTGTAGTTGATCCAGTGCTTTTTGGAAGTTCTTGCGAACCTCGTTGAATTGTTCTTCCTTCTCCTGCAAGCGTCTCGCGCAATCCTGGCGGATTTGTTCCTTCTCGAGCTCGGCCCGCAAAAGCTGTGAAATCAATTGTTTGCCTTATTCCTGAGGAAATATTCCGGTCCCACTGAGGAATGGCGTCTGGTGTCCCCCATCCGAAACTCGCAAGGAAGGAATAATAGGAATTCCGGATTTCGGCAGCAGAGATCGCTCGTGCCTGGCTACAACCGAAATGCAACAGAGTTCAATAAAAGAAGTATTTTACTCGGAAAAGCCGCGGGATCATTCGTCGGTTCCGACGAGCCACACTTGGGGAACAGGAGCAATCGGGCACCAAGGAACTCTATCGTTTCTCTGTTTCCAGATTCAATCGATTGAGGGAGGAGAACGTGGCCAGGAAGAGGGGAGGATATTGGGATAGCAGTTCAGCACGCGCCCCATCGGGAACGTCTGCGCCTTTTTCTTCTTTCCTGCAGAAAGAAGGAAAATGGCATTACCTTGTTTTCTTGCTGCTCGATGGTCGCTTCGGCTTCCTCGCAGGCAGCGATAGCATCGTCTCTTTCGTTTTCTACTCTTTTTCGTGTTGCCTGCAGTTCCTGAATCGTTCGAGCTTCCTCCGCCAACTGATCCAGAACCTCCTTCAGTTCGTCCTGGAGATTCTTGTTCTCCCGTTTGAGAGCTTCGATGTGCTCGAGCGCTTCGTCGTAGGCAGCTTTCGTCTTGAAGAGCTCCGTTGAGTAGTTCCGGCATTCCTAGAATTTTTTTCATGGGTATCGAAGGGGAAATACTGATGAAATTCCGATAGCCACCATCCATCATGAGATCATGCAGAGCTTTCCGGGGAATGCTAACCTTTTGGGAGGCATCTAGCTCGGCCGCTAGATCTTCCACTTTAACTTTCCATTCTGCGATGATCTTATCGAAGGCCTTCTGTTTCTTCTCGTAGGCGATACAATCGTTCCGAAGTTTGTCACATCGTGCGTTACTATCTTCCAGCTCGTGTTGCAACTGCGAACGAACTTTCTCGAGATTCGAGATCTGAAATCGGACAGACAGAGATTAAGGATTCAGGACGTGCTTTTGTCGTGTTAGCAGGATCTCTGAGAATTTCTGTGGATCGAGTCTCGGAGTCTCGAGCTATTCCCCCCAGGGGGAACCACAAGAGAGGGTGCGCTCTTCGATTCCATCTCGACATCATCTGTCAAGTTATGAAGCTGCTTCGACTTAGAATCAGTTTCTTCGGGTTGCAAGGTCAGAACGAAATCGGCCTCGGAGCTCGCCGAGGGAGGAATGAGTTCCGAGGATGTTTGCGAATCTGTTTTGAGAAGATTTTGAGAATCGTTCCCCCGAGGAAGAATAATCTTCCCGGAACTCTCGACTCTTTTAGAATAAATGGTCTTTCGCGTTCTGAATGGCCCCGACTGCGATAAATTGCTTTGTGCGTCTAGCCCACCGAGACCTACGCTCCGAAATGTTTTCGTCTTCCGCGTGCATGCGTCCGCGGGAAATCTCACCTTCGCGTCCTGGTGCTCCACGAGCTGCTCGCTTTCGTGGAGTTTCACGGCGAGTTTTTTGTTCTCTTCTTCCAGCGGGGGGATAGTATGAATGATCAAATCATTGTATTTGATTCTCCAATGTTCTAGTTCCTCCTGGGATTTCGCTAAGTGTCGCTGGAGATCCTGGATTGCTGTTTCCGCTTCCTCAAGCGAAACTTGCATATTGTGCACGGAATGCTCGGCGGCTCTGTGACGTCCTTCGGCTGCAGCCCGTTCCTGGAATGTAATTCGAGTGATGAAGATTCCTAATAGATTCCCATCACGACGAATCTCCGGCTGCTGGCGAGAGATTCGCGTTCTGCCTCGCATGCGAATCGTCTCTTTTCGATGTTCTGGCTAACGACACCGCTGAGTGTCATATTCGGACGGATAGCCTCCGCCAGCATACATCTGCGGCCATGACGAATACAGAGTCGATTCCCATGTTTTCTCACATCCACCGCCTGCTTCGAGAAAGATTCGATTTTTCCGGCGGATGAAAACTATGCAAAGGAGAAAACACACGTGGCCCTCAACAATTATCTTCCGAGTCTCACCCTGCTTTCCTGGTCGGCCCTCCTCTTGGCGTCTTCTGCCTCGCAAGCCAAGGCGCCTTTCGCCTTTCCGAGTTCGCTGCACATGTTTTCAGACTAGACATCGGAGAAATAATTGTGTGGATTAATCTTTATCAATCGGGAAGGGTGCTCATCTCACATCAGGTTATTGATGAGATGCTCCCACCTTGGCCAGACGGTCTTCGAGTTCGACTTTGGCTGAAGCCAGTTTTTGCTTGGATGTGTTCAAATCATTAACCACTCGATTGGCTTCATCCAAACGGAGCTGGAGGTCATTATTTTGTTGGCTCAGCGACTTCACTTGACGTTCGAGTTGAGCCTGGAAAGCCATGACATTTCACATCACTTTTCGATTGTATTCCTCAGAATGAGATCCGATGGTTCAAAGAGAGCGTTCCAAGACCGCTGGGAAGCCATTCTGGACCAGTCAGTCGGAAGTGGAAGGAATTAAGGTCCTTGATAAGTTTGGACGTGGGTTTCAAAACATGAGGGGAATTTCCTGCAGAAGTACTCGACCAAAGGATTGCGGATGAAGATGCGCTTCTGGAGGTAAGCGGTCGCGAGGACGACCTAGCTGTCAAAAGGAGAACAGTGGGGACGCCCAGTTGGGGATAGAGTTCGCGACAGGAACAACAACTCCTTTCCTCCTTCTCCCATCGCAACTTTTCTCCCGCAGCTTAATCCAAAGAGACAAGTCCGTCCGAGTCGGGCTCAGGCTTCCAATCTGAGACGCCCGGGAACTAAGCTGTCACGCAATTAGCGAAAGAGTTCTCTCGGCTCGAGCGAGGGGTGGGGCTGGACTGCTGAGCTCGCGGTCACGAGCTCTCGAACCGGACTCAACGAATGATATCTATGCATCATCATGAGAGCTGAAAAAAGCCTCAGAGCCCTCGGCGTATATCTCATGCTCATGGGCCCAGAGCGAGAGCCGGCGGACGGAGTTTCTCGATGCGAGAACGTGAGCTCCCCTAAAAAACTCCTCACGGTAGAGTTTGAGGAGTATGTTGCGCTGTTACGCTTCAGCGAATGATCGGTCGAGGCTCTGTGGTGAACAACGGCGTGCCACGGGATTCGAGTCCAGGAGTCTTCCACCGTCGCGTCGGGGAACCACTTTTCTCGGGAAGTGGAGGCTCTTCTAGCGTACGCAGGATATGACGAGAAAATATTCTCTCAACCCAAGGGGGAGGAAAGGCGCGATACTCGGCAAACTTGTTGAGATCATACCTCAGATCTTGTGCATATATAAGTTCGAATCGTTTCCCCGCTGCTTTATCGATTCCTTCGTGGAATATTGCTGCGACGTCTGGGAGCTTGGAATCAAAATAACGAGGACGGTTTCTAGATGCTTCCCGACCTCCCAACCTCGCTGCCCGCCGAGGATGCGACATCCCTCCACACTGTCAATTAACATTAAGAGATCATTCAGAGAAAGCATTGAAATACTCGCGCCCCTGCGCATGCCAATCACCCCTCACTCTCAATAAAAACAGAGTTGATCGAACCACGTTACGCGTTGTCACTCTCCTACTGTGCGACTCTGATAATTCATAAAATTAAGTGTACGCCTACTCAAAACCAAGAAATAACACACACAAGCTCGTGAATGGAGCTTCTGAATTCCGGACACTTCGGTTCCCCGGATGAGGAAGGATCTGATTGCGGTATCCTGACCGCAGCGTTCCCCACAACCTACGACGGCAAGGAACTCATCCGAGGCGACTGACTTGTTGATGATGTGGTCGGTTTTCGCTATCGCGAATACGATAAACATGAAATGTCCGAAACGTAGGAATTCCAATCATGAATGATGGCCTAAACCTCTTCGACTTTCCACAGACTTTCGGGAGCGAGAGGGATTGAACACACGACCTGCGACGCGAGGAGGTTTAATTATTTTCCGAACCTGTTGTTTCGTGTGATGATCGAGGAGTTGAGTCAAATTCGTAACTTCGGAATTAAGTCCCGATTTTTCTTTCTCGATCCTGAAAGAGAAAAATTGGCAGGTAGGTACGTATCGGGGTCGATTCGCTCGATCTGAGACGTCTCAAACTGGGCAAGAAATATTTTCGACAGAATGGATAGATTCACTAACTTGGCTTTTAATCGATTGAGCTGTTCAATCTGGTCAGTGAGGTCGTGCATCTCCTCGTGGTGTTTCCTACGCAAAGCGGACGTGCTCTGCTCGAATTGAAGATTTATCTCCTCGAGATCTTTCCTCATCTTGAGCGTTTCATTCTCCTTCCTTTTGAGAATTTCCTAAACAGAAATGGATGGGCAGTTCATTATGAGTCACCTGGGGCGCGAAATGGCTCTGCGCTCTAAGCGAGCGGAAAGACCGGCTGGCGGTACGCCTAAGACATAACTCAGGCCGACGAATTTCTGATTCGTGCTCGAGAATGGAAGTCCTCACTTGAAGAGACTGTTCGTTGCGCTCGGCTTCCACGAGACGGTTCTCTATTTCGGACACTTCTCTTCGAAGCTCAGCCTGCCGTTTTTCTGCCTTGACCCGAGCTTGTCGCTCGGATTTCGCCTCTTCCTCGACCGCTTCCAGACGTTGCTGAAATTCGGATCAGTGGTCAAAGAATGGAGTTGTAGAGATGCTGATTAATTGGAAGCGCTCTGTCCTCGATCGACGGTGTCAAGGGGAAATGTTTCCAAGGACCCACTCCCATCGAGATCCCATCTCGGGAACAGTTCCTCGATTTCCGCTTCGGTGTTTCCTAGATCAGGTTCGTTTGCGAGTGTTCCGTGGAATTTTCTGCCAATGAGCTTCTTATAAATCCCGATCCGGAACCCATACAGTGTAGTCTGAAGCCTGAGCAGTAATTTTGCTCCTTCTATACGAACCTGTCTGGAGGATCAGTTTCATGACGATTCCGATTCCGGGGCTCGCGCGGGTTATCTTCGTCAAGCCAGAACACGTTCGGGTTGACAAGCGCTCAAGACCAGCCCGGCTCCTGGTAGCGGTTGCCGAGCTGGTCGCTTCAATGGATGCATAGCCCGCCCACGCAAACAAGAGCTTTTATGTATTGACCTGATATGGAGACCGGCTGAGCAGAAAGTAGCTCGGCCGACAACGACGGCGTCAGTGACGGAGAACACATCGAAGGTGTGACTGATCTCGTGGGTTAAAACCAAACACTCGGCTGCTCGTTCCTCGCCAGTCGTATCTACGAAGGAAAGCACAAACTGTTCCAGTTTGCCTCTTCACTCCGATCGGTCGCGAAGCAGGGCGGAAATAGCAGATCGCTGTCAGATTGCGCATCTTCGGGAATTCGAATCATTCGGTCTCTGTACCCGAGGCTTGCCCGAGGAACGCATTCCGCTCGAATGACGCGGAGGAACGGAACAGGAGTAAGAGTTTGATAGCGTCGATTTTCGATTAATTTAATAGCGAGTTTCCTCCGATGAACCGTTCGCGAAATTCACCAGCTATGATCGACGGCCCTTTGGAAGCAGGTGGATAAAGTTCCAGAATTATCTTGGGAACGATACGGCCTCCTTGCTGGGACTGAGACAGAAGGCAAATTCTTGCTTCTTGAAGCCTCCTCCTCAGAGCATACCCCCTCCGAATCCCCCGATTTCATCGCTAGGCAATCTTGAGTTCTCGAGATTCGACCCTCAGGCACTGCTTGTCCCCCGGGAGCTCAATGCTCGCACCTGTAGCTGACGTCATAGTAGGTACCTCGCTGAGGTAATTTATGCACACGAATCATGAAAATGAAGGTTCTACCGAGACCAAATTCCGTTGTCAGACACAGGGTTTTTCCCCATTCCCCACGGATCAGAGCCCTGTCAGAAGTTTCCTGCGACATCGAGCATCATCCCGTCAATCAGGCGTTTCGAGGCTTCGGCGATGACGAGCTCGACTCTTCGAGTATCGCCAAATCCATTCAGGCGGCTCGGCTCATACTTACGTTGTAAAACATGTGCACCATTGTCGGATTCGAAGCGAAAGCCGGCTGTTGCATCTCTCGGACAAGTTGTTTCGATTCTTGGGATAGCGAGTAATTGGGAGCGACGTACTCTTCGTGTTTCTGCAGCGGATAGAAAGAACCCTCGGCCAGCGTGTCTCCTGCTGTGTGGGGTACGGGCGCAGGAAGCGTGACCGTTTCTGTGTCCTCCATGTTAATGAGGGACGCCGAGACGCAACGCGAGCTTCGATTGACGGCGAGTATCGATGAGACACGTCCTCACGTATCACGAACACCACAGAGCACGACCGCACGACCTGGAAGACGCTGGGCTCGCTAACTGGTGTCAGTCGAGTGCCTTGACGGGTTTAGACTCGCCGGGGGAGGAGGCCATAAGTATGACTAAGCTTTTCGAAGCTTGGAAATGTCTATATTTTCCGCTTCGCTTCACTCTAATAATAGAAAAGGCTTGCAATCGAATAATGGTGTGTCATAAACAAGTTTTCAGACGTCCTTCGACTGGAGCAGGACTTTCGAAGCGTCCGCTCTGGGGTCCGAGCCCACCGGCAAGTCGTAGAAGTGCTAGCCTGTCGAATCGATCTCTTGACATGTGCTTCACGATCTGATCGACTTGCGCTAGCATGAGCCCCGAATCTGGTGGAGGTCTCGTTCGAGACTGACGACGATATCTCGGATTGCGTTGCGTTCCGCTCAGAGTTCTTGAGCGTTCAGTGACCAACTCACTTCAAAGGCACGCGCACCAAAGTCTGACACCAAGGTCGACGTTTGATTCATGATTTTGGCGTTGACTCAGAGAGGCACGGCTGTAATTTTCCTCGTGCTCTCCGGATCCGCATCTATGGAGACTTCTCGAATGCCTTCGTGACAACTGTATTCTTTCTGACCCTCGAGTCACCAGCCAAAAATTATCGAAAGAAGCCTACTCTGTCAGGACACAAAACAATCTGGTGCCAAACCTCCGTGTTTTCCGCGCGGCATCCGAAGAGAGTCGACTCACGCCCATTGGTCCCATCAACTCTATCTATCCGGAATTCAAAGTTGTTTTCGGGAGCATGCCGAATCCCATGGCTGCATAGGAAGAAGTGTCTGAAGAATGATCTCATGACCTTGTTCTCAGCTGTCGCTTCCGCCACCTCCGACGATCAGCTGCCGCGATAAACGGTCCAGCTCATAGCTCTAGTTTCTTTGAGGCTTCGGCATGATGTGTCATCTCGAGAGAATTCCTTTTCCTTCCTCTTCTAGAACACCCTCGCACACTCAGTTCGCGCGCCGATTAGTCTTGTCGTTCTACTGACATTTCTCGCGAGCTCTCTCCCGACGTGGTGTAAATCTCATCATTTGTATCCATTCTTGTAGTGTACCAAGTCTTAGCACAGCCGTTTGGACGTGCGGAGCGAGTGAGAGAATGCGAGAGAGTTGACCGCGAAAAACGATACCCCAATGGAAACTTCATTTCTGGACAGGATTGGTAGGTAGCTCCTCCGGAAGAAGGAATATCGGATGGCTCGTGTCTGCGCGAGCTGTCGTAAGATTTCCGGTTATCGTTCGGGTCTGTATGGATGGTGACGCAATCGCTCGTTCATATGGGAGGGAACCTCGTAAGCTGGCTCCCCCTATCGAAGTTTCGTCAACCCATTCTTCCGGGAATCAGCTTCTGAAGCAAGTCGCCAATCGAGCAAGCTATGAGAGTCAGCGACCCAACAATCCTCGTGAACTTGTGAGTCCACGACCGGCTACTCCCTGTCAAGACTGTCCCGCCGAGTGGTGCGTCACGCATGATTCCCTCCGACGGAACTCTTGTCTGAAAGATTTGTATAACATCTCAATTTCGACCGAAACTGGGACAGGATGTCTCGAAAATGTCTTCCAACGACTATGGATCGGGTCGGTCTCGCCGACAGCCATCCGCTCATTCTTTCCTCGAGGAGACGTGAAAGACGCCGACGGCGGTTTCTTGCATCAGAGAGCTTAAGCCTCGCGTGGGAGTTCCAGCAGCAAGCTCGAGCCCGTCGAAACGATGAAGGGGGTCCCACGAGATGACTGTAACCTGACAAGGCATCGACGTCTTCGGAGGAGTTTAAGCGTTTTCCTCCGACGAGTCCTCCACACTGATGAATAATTGGTCTGGGACCCATGAGCGCTGCTGTAGCGAGGCGAGAGCTTGTCATCGTACGTTCTCCTATCGATAGGATTGTCGCGTACCGCTTCGGGCAATCTCGCACGTACTCAACAATTTCATTTCACAGTTCGGAAAGGCGGGTGTCATTCGAATCCAATTGCCGGCACCGCTACCCATCGGTGTCTGAACTCTGAACCAGGAACTGTACCTCAGGCCCGAGCTGGCAGCTCCATCTGCAGGAGTGGACAAGAGCTGTCGCGAGATTAGAATTCGTCGGATGAGCCCAGGGTGACCTCGAGACCAGATAAGACAGCCATGGAATGGAAGTTGTTCCTAATTCAGTAGCTAGCAGCCAGGTGGTTCTGTTCCCCTCCCGACGCTACCCGGAATTTCTCCCAATCTCCTGATTATATCGCTGCTGTGCACGTGGAGTGATTGTGGAGGAGCGCTAATTGCCACCTATGTCGCCCATTGTATATGATTCTCCAGAAAGCGGCCGACTCTAGTCAGGAGGATAACTTTCAAGCGGGATCTGCATCAGAGAAGGAAAAACGAGTTCCTTCCGGCACCGATCGGGCGAATTCGGGAAGCTTCCCTCCAGGGAAAATTCGCGAATAATCATGAGGAGCCGAGCGCCCGCCTGCGGTGTGCTCCAGAAGACATAAAAAAGAAACTGTGATAACAACGACGGCTACGGAGAAGTTCTTTGTCGGAAAGAAATTGTCTGGGCGGCTAAGCCCGAGTCTGTCTAGACATCGCTTCGCAATTTCAATGCAAATTCCCTCCGAAACCCATACACGTCACACGTCTGCGGTCTCCTTCGAGTTGAGGACTCGCAGCTCGGGAGCCAACGAGAGGTATCAAGGCTTGAAGTTATTCGAGTAACGCTGCGATCGACCCACGTAGCAGACGGCCGACTTCAAAACCGTCTGAAGTCGGACCGAGACGGCTCTACTCAAGTCACTTGAACGATCTCGGCCTCGATCTACTCACAAGCTCTGATTGTGGGTAGACTCGAGAGTGCAACTTTCTTTCAATAGAGAAATCGTTTTTGAACTGATCAAGGCTCTGGACACGGTTGGGTGATTTCCAAAAGACATTTTTAATGCACTTTCCTGGTATCGACACGTATTCGGTGTTCACTTTGATCATTAATTTGTATTGTTACAATATCCTACCATTCCCCGCTCCCCGGGTCCCGTTGGAGTTCATTTCCGCTCGTATCGAAAATACGAGAATTAAAAAGCTCTATGATACTCGAATCCACAGTACGACGGAAACGGTTCTAAAGTATCTTCACAATAATCTCAGAGCCCCTCAGGGCTCATCCGTGGTCCAAGGTCATCGTGATTCAGTCGTTCCATTCACAAAAATTCGTTCCAGTAGGTCTTCATTTGGGATAGAGGAATCGCAAGAACGTGAGCATCGCATTCATCACCTGCGAAACACCTCCACAGAATGAGCAGAAGAATGACGGTAGCAGTCGAACACCAACGCGTGTCGAATGGAAACATAAAGTTATGCCTGCCAGAATATATAATGCAAAAACTCACAACATGGGGGTCTTCGAAGAGAGGTACGTTGCAGCAGGGAACTTCGAGGATATAGTCGTGGTCCCTCATCTTACGAGCGTCGAACATCCTCCGAGAATTATCGACGTACAAAGAGTCCTCTCCCACGATGTACAGTATGGGGCACAGAATAAGATTGGGGTCAACCTCAGGTCTGTTGACACACGCCTGGATGATTCCTTCTAGTTTGGTGACCTCCGATTCTTTAAACATCCTGGCATAGCCGACGTTTGCGTATCCTTCTCTCGGCATATCATGGTAATCCAACAAGCCCGCTGTGACGATTTCGAAACGTTTCCTCGCCCTGAGCAGTCCGAGCGTCGTTATGAGAGACCCGTTCACCGGGCTGATATCGCGGAAGGGATGATTGAACAAAACTAGAGCCCGGAAGCGTTTGGGGTCTCTGACGGCCATCATACTGAGGAGATGAGCTCCGAAACCATAGCCGACCCCGACATAGGTTTCGTCATATATCCGTAACAGCGAACCGATAGCGTTGCACAATTCTTCTGCCGTCCGATAGGAGTCCTGTGGAGTCCCGTCGTCTCTCGTAGTGATCCAGACATTTAGAATCACATAAGCTGACTTGAAACAAGAGCCGAAACGGCCGTCGAAGAACTCTCCGAAATTCCTCCGAGGATCGAGACCGATGTCGTGAACTGTGACCATTTTGAGCCCTTGCCCGTTGCCGGAGACCTCCGTGTGAAATGTAAACGGTTTCCACGACATGGCCCCGTTCGTTGAGTGTCTCCTGTTATGGAGACTTGCCATCGGCGGTGTTGTGATCTGCTTCTAGAGAAGGGTCGCTCGACTTCTCCCCCTGCACTGGGGGCACGAAAACCAACTCGGGATTGCCTCTAAGCTGGCTCGACTGATTCGGGCTCGCACCACAGCTGCTCAATCAAAATAAGTCTTGACCGGACGTGCTTGGGGCGATATTTTCGTCGAGTGCCTTCTCGTCGAGCCAAACGTGCAAAGTCTTTCGTCAAACCCCCTGCCCTGAGGAACGATCCGGGAGAGAATCGTCTCCCCTACCATCTAGAAATGTCCCGAAGCGATCGCGATCTCAACCGATTTAAGATCATCCTGCGAGAGGATGCAACCGCATGGTTCGGGAGTCAGTCCAAGAGCTGGCCGGAACTCGGGTGGAGCATGCTTTGTACCTGGAAGAATCTCATGAGGAATGGAAGACTTGCCGTCCGCGATTTCTCAAGCTCAGCCGTAGAGGATGGAAGTCCGGAATGACCGTATCGAGATTCTCGCAGGCATGCAGCGGGAATTCCGAATAGGAACTGGGACTCCGTAGACCAATACGGGGCATGGTCGGGAACTCGACGGGATGAACGCATGCCGCAGTAACCTATTTTGAAGTCGAAGAAGAACAACCCTCGTGGCAGATATCAGAGCATGTAGCTTCGGCGATCTGTACCGGGGTACCAAAGAACTCCTCTTCCCATGGGAAATATATCCTGAAGCAAGATTCTTTCTGGATGGGACATATGTGACTTGAGCTCTGTTCCTGGAGCATGAATTGGTCGCATCATCCCTTGCAGTGATCAGCCCGACGTGACTGTAAAGATTTGGCATTGCCCGCGCCGCGCCGTCGCCGCTCCAATTCTGAGCCTGGTCGCGATTTTCCGACATAAAGGCTCCATCTCTTGCGCTTCCGCCTACTCACTGAGTAAGATCAGAATCGGAGAAGAAGAGGCAAAGTATGTTAGGGAAGCTACTGGCGATTCAGGGCAAGAACTTGTCATCACGCTCCCCACCGAACCCCTGTAGCTCTCCGCTGCGGCTCTGGGAGATCTCGTCAGACTATCCCGCTGGCGGAAACTTAGCTGGAATCGAGGGTATTCGGTCCGATGATCATATTTGACCGCTCTCAGCTCGAGCAATTCAGTGTCTCGCGAGTTCAAGAGAAGCATGTGTTGCTATACGACAACGGACACGTGCGAGCCCTCCGAGTCGATGGGGAAAAAATGACTTGAAGCCCCTGTTGAAGTTTGGAACTCGACATCTTTATTCAACCTGTCTCAAAACTACTCTATCTTATCAGAGATAGCAGCAGAAATATCTACAAGTGACTCCTGGAGCAGATGTTCATACCAATCAAATTCGCAGCGATCAACGAACAGATATATATTGATTATATTACAAGATTCCACTCGAGTGTCACATCTGCGATTGACTCTCTTCAATCCAGCTGATAACAATTGACATGCTCAGGCATTCTAGCCGAAGAGTAAGTAAGTGCACTTGGGAATAACGATCAACAGCAACAGCGCTTCGTATAACGAATGTTCTAAGAATTAACTGATCGGATGTCTCCATCCTCTATTGTGTGCATGAAATGCGCGACTCGATAAGGCACTCCAAAGTCCCGACCGTTAAGAGGAGGCGCTATGCTATGACCTTATAGTTAAGTCGGTTGTTTGACTAGAATTCACGAAGTATAAACCTTGCTTGCGGCTCAGTATGGAGTCCGACCAGTAATACTGATGAGATCCCTCGTACTGGAATCGAAAAGTGAAGTTAATCCAGGATTTGAAAGAATTCAGGGGAAAGTTTGAATTTTGGGAAGATGCCGAGTTGCAGTCAGATTGAACTCGAACATGCTGAGATCTTTCTCCGCCCAGAGTCTGGCATTCACCAACCCGAATTTCTCTTCTGGAATCATTGAGCAACGACGAGCACACAATGGGAGCGGGAAGCGAGGCGATTTTCCAATGACGTTTCAGAGAGAAAATCATCGGGAATCGGATATCGTTCGTTGAGGAGAGGCTCGAAACATTCGTCATGGATCAATGTACATTCGTGTCGGTTCTTTGAGCTAGACCGACTCCCACCATACAGAAACTCTGTCTGAGGATGCAACGCGAAGACGCGACAGTTCAAGGCCCCAATCATCCAAGACAATAGACACAGTATCCGAAAACAGCATGGAAAACATGCGAAACAGGGATCGTGCTCACTTTTACTTACGTTTCTGAAACGTTCAGGCAGCTGAGTTAGAAGCCAACTACTCGCAGTTTAAATCGGGAGAGAAAGACAGAGTGGAGCCTCGCAGAGTGTTAGTGCTGTGGTTTACAGTGCTTTCGGGACGGGTGAGGCACTTTGAGCGAGCGAGCGAACGAGCGACGCTACAAGCTCGAACTCTGGGTCGCAATCAATTCGATGGTTTGACTGTCGGCTCCCGCGCGACTCTTCAGATTAATAGAGTTCACACAGGCTTGTACACCGTGCTTGTCCAAAATTCTTTGACTCATACTGACAACACCGAGAATAGAAGCCACAATGTCAATCACAAGGGAATTCGAGTCGTCAACAAACGAAAGGGCCCGAATCACATCCACGTTTCCCAACAATAACTAGTATCGGGTGGGGTGAACGTGTTTCCCGGGAAAGAAGAGATAAGTGCTTTTCACAAGACTTGAGCGTCGCAAGTGCAATCGAATAGGGTGACCCGGGTTTTGAAAGAATCGTCTCTGTTATTATTATGTGCAACATAAAAAAAATCCTAAAGCGGAGTTAGTCGCTCCACGTCGTCGGAACCGAACGGTGCGTAAGCAGCGAGCGATAATCGGAGGGGGAACTCACTTTTTGCCGAACTTGTGATGAATGAACAGGAAGCCCGCGCCGAGGACTAAGCACAAGCTGCCGACTGTCAAATAGGCGATGCCAAGGAAGGGGTTCTTGCCGCCCAGCCACGAAGTGTTGGATATGATGACTCGTTTTGTGCCCTTGAACCTCGCCACCGGATAATTGTATGTGATAATTGCTTTATACTTTCCCCTGGAAGAATATTCGGCAATAGGTTGAAATCACCTTAATCCCGCAGTAGTCCGAGTTTCGACATCATTTGAAAAAAAACAATACCTATTCGTGAGTATCTCCCCAGCTCACGTTTTTCATTTCTACGGACTTACTTCGGGAGTTTATGCTTGAAAGCTTCCAGATCGTGATTGATCCGCCCATAAAGCTTCCTGAATGTAGGCAGGGCGGCGGTTCTCATCCAGACGATCAAGGCTTCATTGGTGAAACCTCCCATTTCCTTGATGGTCGTCTCCCAGTAGGGTGGTTTGGCTGTTCCCTCGTAAGACGTCGCGTTCCGAAACTTAACGTTCCGGTCCGATGGCCACGAGATTTCGTCTTTCAGAATATCGACGTTCCTGATGAGAGAAAAAAATCGAAGCAAACGTTCCCCTCATTCCCCCTGATGGTCGGGTCGGCTCGCACAGTCAATGAGATCTCTCTCTCCAAGATCGATAAAATATTAAATCTCGACTCTGATCACGGGACATCCTTACCTCCATTTGTTCTCGGCCGTAAGCATCTCGAGAAGGATCGTATCATTGAAAAGGCTGTTCGCTATCGCCCCGCAGGGGGCAATCGGGAGCCCGCCCTCCCCGCCTGCTCTGTCGAAAGGTGCGCAGTCGGGTGACACATCGGTAGGTCTCCCAAGCAGCTGTTTATCGCTTCGAGATTTCACGTAGCGTCGGTGGTTCTGATAGAAGTTACTGAGCCCGTAGTAGACGTAGACGTGAGCCAGGATATCCTCCTCGATATCGAATTCTTTCTCACATTTGCATGAATTGCCAGTTCTATTGAAACGATTCGCCTCCAATATGTCCCTGCACAGCTTGCCGGTCTCGGTGACACACTCCGTATAATCAACTTGTATCTGGAACAGAAACACATATTGAGGCTGTCAGGGGGCGAAATGGCGAGCCCTCTGAGCGAAGGACCGGGGTAAATCAAGGGATGGCACGCGAGTATATGCCCAATAATTTCTCATGTAGTGAGTGTCAATTAACATTAAGAGATCATTCAGAGAAAGCATTGAAATACTCGCGCCTCGGCGCATTCCAATCACCCCTCACTCTCAATAAAAACAGAGTTGATCGAACTACGTTACGCATCGTCACTCTCCTACTGTGCGACGCTAAAAATTCATAAAATTAAGCGTACGACTACTCAAGACCAAGAAATAACAGTGAGCTACGAAGGTGCCTGATAGACGGAGCTCTTCCGGCCCAGGATCAGGAAGAGAAAGCTGCGAGACTCAAGCACTAACCTCTTTGACGGCGTCCGACGTCATCAGCAGCAGGATCCCGATGGGAATGAAAGCGAGGCCAACCAAGAAGAAGGTCGGCAGGACCGTCCCTGCCGTGAGTATCGGCTGCCATGCACTCAGACGTTGTTGTCGAAACGCACTACCTGAAAGATAAAGAGAACTCAGCTCATGACCAATACCCAGATGTCGCAACAGCTCCGTCTGTCTTCAACACGCACGGTAATCGTCCCCGTGAGGTTCCCACAGCGAGAAATGGCCTTTCCTCGACTGAAATTGGAGGAAATCAGGGATCGTTTGGCGGAATACGTTCATTTCGATCCCCAACGTTCGGAGACTCGTTGGGACTGGCGAAGCATCAATATACTTGGAACTTGTTCGAAACCTACGAAGGATCTTGACAGCTCATGAGATCCTTGAACAAACTCTCGAATGAAACAAAGGAGTTTCCCAGAAAACCCTCTCCTGATCAAATACCAGAAATGGAACAAACGATGAGTGGCGGCTCCTCTAGCTTCAAACGTGAGACGCAGGATCTGCCGGGAGCGCGCGAGGTCGACGTGGTCGGTCGCGGAGAAACGTTTGAGATATGTGTTCTCCCGTGTCGCTTCCTCAGAACATCCTCGGAGAAGACGACGAACGACCCACCTTTCCAGCAGCATCTGACTCGAGCGTTCTCTTCCGCTCGGGAACCTTCACCACTGCACTCAGATACGCGTTTTTCGACGGTGTACATCGCGAATCGTCGAGGGGCGAAAGCTCACGGAGCGACCGCATAGTCTCGGAAGGTTCCACCGATTTTTCGATGCTTCCTGAGAGAAGGTCTGCGTGGCTCCAACCATTATCCACGAACATGTCAACAGCGAGGTCATGAGCTGAAGGATTGGGTCTACCTGAGTTTTTGAATGATCTGCGCACTTCAATTATCCGCGAATGCTAAGACCGAGCTCTCCGCTGTCCCTTCCGACTGGGTGGACGACATCGGATGAGCCCGATGTCAGCCCGATACGGACACGTTTGCTGCCAGGAGATGCGACTCCGTGAGCGACTCGAAGGACTCGAGTGAGGAAAACACCTCTGGGAATCACCTCGGTCTGTGCCTCGATCGTTTTCGGATGCTCACCTAAAATTCGACGGAGGAACTCTTCCGCCGAAGGCATGGGAGCACTGCGGTGACTCGCGAGGCTCAAGTTTGCGAGCCGGATCAGCATAAATATGCGAGATCACTCCCGCCGTGCGGAACAATCTATCTCCTGCATGGTTGATTCAGTGTCGGCAAAGGGATCATCAACGGATGCCGAGGTCGGAAGCATCTCGGCTTTGTGTGGGAGCGGCTCCTTCCCCAAGAGTCAGCGGGGATCCGAGGTTCCGGAGAGAAATGCTCACAAGTGTTCGTCGAGCTCGACAGAAATGGCGAAAGCTGTACCCTGTATATGACGCCGGCACCGACGCCGGGAACATGAGTGAAAAGTACCTTCCCGTCATTCGTGGGAAGGCAGTCGGATGGGGTGAGTAATTTCCAAAATATAGAGGGAGAAATATATAAGTATCATCAAGAATGATAAGAAAATTGCATGCGGTGGAGCGTCGCCTCGTCGAGGTCAGAAGCGAGGACCTCCGAGAGGAGACGATAAGTTGAGGTGGATTGCGGAGGAGGAGCGATTATCGCATCGTCGCGTTGGATGGAACCGAAAATTCGTGAGCAGACGGGTAATCGTATCCCTTTGCTCTGCGCATGACGAAACGTTCCGAGGACGGATACGACTCATGGAAATTGGGTGTGCAGATCCACACGCCTAAACTCCACCCACCAATGCAGTGCGACCACCGTGGAATTTGGCCTACTTTCACTTTCGAGCCTGGGTACACATGTTTTCACAAGGATAAATGCACTGGCTGAGGCCCCGAGTCTCGTCGTCCGGTGACTGTCGACGATGGTCCTCAAGTAAACACAGCGTTGACAACTTCCTTCCGCCAGCCAGAAATGCTGATAGCATCCGTGAGCCAAGTTCCAGGACTGCGCAATACTTCGCTTGAATGAGGAGGGAGCTTGACTGACAGAGCACGGAGAAAAAAAATCCGGGACCCCCGGGGATCATCACGATCGAACGAAGAATTCCGACACATTGTAGGAGACGTGATGTCGAGAAAAGAAAATGCCAGCCTGGTAGAACCGGGGTTGACCTTCGGAGCTCTGTCGCTTCTCTGGAAAATCAACTCTAACCTTGCCCCAGTCCCGCTGTCAAGAGACATCCCGGAAACAAAGCGAAAGGTCTATTTGAGGAGGCTCGACAAGACTTCGGTCAGCCTTCTCATGATTGCCGACCAAGTCAATCACGACCGCGATCGAACAGCTAAAAGTCAGTCTGCCATTTCCAGTGCTCTGTCGACGATGATTCACTCGATTTTCCCTTACGAGGTCTATCATGATCGTTGGACCACGACTCACCTCACTGTTCACCGGGGCTTAATTCCCCACAACTGAGACAGAACTCAAAGTCGAACCACGACGATCGCTGTCAGAGCGACTTGTCAAAACTCAGACTGATTCGAACGAACATCGCGCCGTCCTTCACCTCCTCCGAGCAGGCATGATCAGCCATCTGAACCTGGCGTAGAGCTCCTTCGAGGTCGGAGTTCGAACTCTGGACTTACTTTTGGGGCGTTTACTCTGCACCTGGGGCTCCATGTCTTGAGTGAGTTTCTCTCATAGAATACTATTTTCACAGCTTTCAGCTCTCTCACACTCACACACTCAGAGCAGACCACTGTCGCCGTGTGATGTGTGGTGCACTAAAACACTCGCATGGGCTCTTCTGGTCCCAAAATAGTACCACACCGGGATCCGCTGGATTCAAAAGCACACTCAGACGCGTTTCCAGCTCAAATCGCGCTCACGTTCTGCAGACGTCCCGAGAATGCCGGTGAAAATCATGAAATGTTGGTGAAAAGCCTTTCTAGGATTCTCTTGTGTAATATTTGTGGTACCTTGGTCACGGTGACTAAGCAGTGCCACAAAACACTCGGTGATAGCCGCGTGTCACACAGTTTACCGCTCCATGACGATTCAATCGCTTGACCCCAAAGATCTGTTCGGAGGAGGATTAATTCGACTCTCGCAAGTCGATGGAGGTGAGGAGCACTAGCAAAGGATCAGCATCGTTCTTTCAAGTACCGCGGGACTTTCATCGAGTGCGCGGATGCTCTTTCTCGTTCCACTTTGTCTACTCTGAACAGACGATTCGCGATCAGCTGACGAGCGCGCCTCTCCATCGACAGATCCCGGAACTTGGCTCGGACCTATCGGGCGGAGTGCCTCAGTCTCTTGGCGTATTTTCTAGCAACTGGCTCTAGGCGAATTCTCTTCAGCATATCGATGCGAGAAGCGAAAAGTATTTGAAGAAAATACTGGAGGTACTTAGAATGGGTCATTCAGTATTCCGCTCGTGAGTCTTCACCGCTGCCACCATGGATAATCAGGCCGTCGAATCACTATCGAAATCAATTCTACTGGTTCATACACGGAGTTGGAAGCTCTTGGTCTGGCGAAAAATCTTCAATACAATGATCCGTTCGATTGGTGCCCGATCGGATCACGCTGTGGAGCACCGACGCACTGAATTCATTGAGCTCCATTCCAATCCTCCAGCGCTTGGGGAACTCCTGAATCTACACGAATCCCCTTCGATTCGATTACGCGATCACTAGGCTCGTTCCGAGGAGAAGTTCGAAAATCTTCGCGTACGACTTTCATCTCCCGGTTTTCTTCTTACGTTTATTTATGCTCTGCGACCGTGGTCATGGCGTAAGCAGACTCCCGGGAGCTTGTTTGACGATTTTTAAGAGCTTCGCGAGCATGACGTTTCCCTTTTTCGCGTATTACATTCGACTGAGAAACGTTTGAATTCTTCTGGATGACGTTCGAGACAATGCCAGTCGCACTCATTCTCGCTGAGCGTAGAAATCCTGCCTCAGTTGACCACCAAGGGACTCCTGCCGCTCTCTCATGACGGATTTAGGGTTCTCCTCACCCGTAGTCATAGTCATTATGTGTTACCCCGCGAGCAAGACTCTGATTCTTGGCGAAATGATTTAAAAGTCTTCTCGCGCGCAGGAGAGCGCTACGGTGGCTTGGAACCGATTCCAAAGTTTGACCTTCAAATATTCGAGCCCCGCTATCGCGCAATCACAGACACTGCCCGCAGAAAATTCAGTTCCTTTGCAGCTCTTGCCGATTGAGCGCCGAATTTCGATGCCCACCAACCCAAGGTATCGTTGATCTTTTACTTGATCTCAGAGCGCGCGTCTTCCGCAGCTTCGGTTGGGCTCCTCCGAGTTTTCTCCCGAAGCATTCTAATGATGCTCGATCCGCGGATAACCATATTATCTAACGGATAGGCCATCACGAAACGGTTCTGCCACATGTTTAGCCCGGCTCGTGCTCCCCATGTTCCTCGCGAAGCGAGCCCCTACTTCTCCTGAGCAAAACCGCCCCCACGATAATCCGGGGCCGTTTTTTCGACCAGTTATACTCTTCCTGCAAACTCGTGGAATGGTCTTCCGCATGCCGATAATCAGATATCCTGAGTTAGGCTCAAGCGCAAGAGCGAGTTTTTCGATTTCCGAAATCGCTGCTCGCCGAGTCTGTAATTGATCGATCGGTCCCTTGACGTCGGATAGCTCCGTACGCTTGAATTTCGTCATATTTCTGTCTGGGTCTCGGGTGGGCGTAAATCGTAGCGCCCTCCTTGGTCGAAAATCGGCGTTGACGAAAACCAACCTTGACCTCTCTTGAGTTTTCACGCGAAAATTCAGAATCCGTGAAAAACGATAGCAGAAGCATTAGTGTTCACTGAGACGAATGTCGGCTCCACCCCCAATTCCAGCTAACAGCTGGCGGGGCCGAATTCTTGCTTGCTGATTCGACGACAATTTTCGTTCGCTCGTACGAAATTTCCACGCCGGCGTTATCGAGGGAACGCAATGAAACCGGCGCAAGCGATCGTCGCATGCGGAAGATGACTGATCACTGAGCGGTCAGTTTGACGAGCGTTCATTCGACTAGACAGTGGTCATTGTACGCGAGGCAAAACGCGCCGCTGCGAGGGCTTCTCGGTGAGGGGTGCCCGTGGGATTAACGGTACATCGTGAGCGGATCCGACAGACCGACAGCAGTCAGTCATTCCGTGTTCATCGGTAGTTTTGCGACCGAAGGATTGGCGCCGTCTCTTTCGGTGAGTTGTTTCGCGTTGGATTATCATTCGAAGTACTCTCGTGGAGTCCGAGCCCTGCTTCGCTCGTACCTCTCGGAGGATGGAATTTCGCGGAGGTTCTCAGAGAGCGTGAGTACACCTCGTAGTCGGGAGTTCTAGGAAGGATGATCGAGTCACCATCAACGAAGCGATCCAAACACTTCTCATTAAAAACCCTCTCTGGCGAGCCCATCCTCTCGTAGTTCACCCCAGCTCGGTCTGAGACTTCGTCGATTCCGCATCGTGCTCAGTCTGAGGTCGGAGGGCAAACTCTTCGGAGCCGAGCTCTTTGTAGTTAAGTCGAAGCTTTGTAGCTAAGATGGGTCCCCATCGCAGCGACGTGGTGCTCCATGCGTCTCCCCCTGAGAGGTAAACTTTTGGAAGACAAGTTTGTTCGAATCCCCCTCATTTATGTAGATGTAGCCTTCGCTTCTTTCACGCCGGAGTCGCGGCTTGATGTTCTGTAAGCTCCTATTCTCGGACTGATTACTCCCATGATATCCGTAGCTCTCTACAATCATCAGATTGTTAGCTGCCCTCTCCGGAACAGAGCTCATTCTCAGACCGCAATAAGTCTCAAAGGCGCTCGTCAACTCAAAACTCTTCCAACGAAACTAGTTTTCGCCAGGGTCAGTAGTTGTTCGAGAATTTCGTCGACCCGTTCGAAGTTATCCCCCGCGCCCTACCGCGGAACTCCGTGCTCATACGATGTGTGAGTGAGTGATTGACAGACATTCTCATCAAGCGAAACTCGACAGTCACTCGAACCACAGTTCTGACTTCTGTTGCTGTTGTCAGCCTGTGACAAAGAGCGTTTTTGTGTGGAAGTCGCCGCCGATCGAGCGAGACCTTGGTGAGAACCGGATCGGGATGAAGTCTTACTGCTGTCCCATAATCCATTGATCCGACTTGTATCCACCTTGGTGTAACAACAATTTTATATAATTACACGTCTTATTGTACAACGCAGCTCTGTACGGAGCGAAAGTACTTGACGTACCAAGGGCTCTTTCACTATGCTCGCCGTGTAATCAGGTGTTGTGAATAATCGCTGCTCCGTGAAACAGCATACATCGTCCACTCCGTAGCGGGATCGCTTTGCTTATAATGGTTTGTGACCATAAAGAGACGAGCGATTCACGTTCGTAATTCGAAACGATCCGCTCGCGATCGCTCATGAATGTTGAACGTTTATGGTTTACTTAATGTTCGAATTCCTATCGGAGTAGCGGTGGTATCGGAGCATAACAATTACTCTGTCATAATCCGAATCGGAAGCCGATTGAGTAGCTGCCGCTTTGCCAGAGATCGATTCGCCCAAGTCAGAGCTCGAAGTAGTCAGAATCGGAGAAAGAATTTGTCAGAGATCGGAGTGCGCTCCCATACTTGCTTCGACCACACGCGGCATGATTTCTAGGCTTCACCCTCATTCAGGATCTGCTTCAGGTCGGAGCAAAATTCTCTCTTGTTCGAAGGTCTCGCATCGATCGGGGGATTAATTCGACGAGCTCCTGAATGTGGGGAACGCACCCCTTCTTTCGATGTTCGCATCGCTGACCCACCCCATAGCAACTCATTCCGACCCCGAGAAGCGGGCCGAGATTATTGGTGAACAGCATAGGAATGAATAAGCGTACAGGACTCGGATTCCTTTTCCAGAGTAAGACTCTGCAGAGCGTTCGCTTACGATAGGGGCTGCACGTGGGCAACTCATGTAGATCCGTTCCGTCGGTGGGACATCGCGAGATCATCCATGCGATGAGGTAGCTTAAGGGAGAAACGTAATTCGGAGACGCTCCCCGATACACTGCCGACGCGGGCGGGCCGGCTAATGGCTCGTCCGGCCTACCAGCAGCTGCGGAATTTAAGTCACTCGAAATTTCACTCACCACATGCTCTGTGCCAGGGAATGCGTTCGCGTGGCACGTAAATTCTGACGGTCATTTCCTCAATCCATGTATCACGCCCGGCACATAATCACATAGCGTCGCGCTGCGCATAGCAGAGCTCAAACGGAACGCCACCGGTGCAGCGGTCTTCCGCGATTTCGCGGATTAAGCAGTCAGCAGAGCGTGTCGGCATTTGAAATTTCATTTTTAGCTCTCTCTCGATCCCTCTGAGAGCGCTGGTAAAGCGCGAGACTCTCTGTTGAGCAATTGGTAGAGAGCACTCGAGACGGCTATGTTTGATCTTTAGCGATGCGAGTGTCAATCCGCGCGATACGGTGGAGAGTGCTCCTGGAGAGCTCCTTCAACGCGTTCGGATGTTGTGGGAAATCCGCGCGTTCGAATGCTGTTAGAGGCCCGTTGTCGCCAGCTCCGAGGAAGCTCGAACTTCTGGACACCCGAAATGCCTCGTTACATTGTAAAGGATGGCCGTTTCAATCGAGTCGAAGATCCGATGTCTGAGGACCCATACCATCAGATGTGAGTGCTCTGATCGTCGCAGCCCGCATTGATCACTGTCGGGCGATCGACAGAATCGGCGCACGCGCCGTATTTTTTTACGCGCAGCGCGGCGTCACCCATCGAATGGGTTTTCTGCTACTGCTCGATCAATGGTAGATTGTTTCGATTCCAAACCTCACCTAACTGTCCTCGTCATCGGTTGCGCTCCGTCTGTCTTCCGGCCAGCTTATGCAACGATGATGGAAATGGGTCAGCTGGTTGGGGGAGACGACTCCACGAGTTTCTTCTCCCGAGCGATGAACTGGAATAGATACATACTACGTTTTTTATGATGATCGATCCATTAATAGACCAGCTGGGCTCTCGACAGCTGGTCTTACTCAGTGGCTCCCATTGATCTGACTATCTACTTCCAGCCACGCTTACTTCAGCGAGCACGCGATGACTGAAGCTGAAACCAGGAAAATCAAGCAACTGCTCGACGAACATGGACAAGAACATCTTCTGCAGTTTTGGGATGAGCTCAACGAAAAACAACGAGGCCAACTTGTCGGTGCGTATTCCGGAATATCACAAAAAAAATGATTCCCTGGAGAACTTGGAGTCTGATTGGATGGCGAGAAACTCATCGGGGAGCTGAGAGCTTCACCTGACATGATTGTTCCCTTTCGACAGCTGACATCCACTACGTGGATATCGCGAGATGCATGGCCGCCTTCTCGAACGTTATGGTACCGAATAAAGAGGAGAACCTGGATGAACTCCTAGAACCAGTTCCAGCCGAAAAGTTCGGCTCAATCGCTCGCGCGTCCAAAGATGAGCTCGCCGCATACCGGAAAGCGGGGCTCGAAGCAATTTCCCGGGGCGAGGTCGCTGCGCTGCTCTTGGCTGGCGGTCAGGGAACACGTCTGGGAGTGCCTTATCCCAAAGGAATGTACGACGTTGGTTTACCGTCCGGGAAAACCCTGTACAATTTACAGGCGGAACGACTCATAAGATTGGAGGAGCTCTCTGAGCGTCAAACCGGAAAACGCGGTAGCATCCCCTGGTACATCATGACCAGCGAGCACACGAAAGAACCGACGATCGAATACTTTGAGAAAAACGGTTTCTTCGGCCTCGAGGGTGACAATCTGGTGGTGTTCGAGCAAAACATGATGCCCAGCTTCACCTTCGACGGAAAAATCATTCTGGAGAAGAAACACCGCTTAGCTCTCAGCCCGGACGGGAATGGTGGGCTGTATAACGTTCTATACAAGCGCGCCATCCTCGAGGACATGAAGAAGAGAGGAATCAAGTTCATACACGTCTATTGCGTCGACAACATACTCGTCAAGATCGCCGATCCCACTTTCATCGGATTCTGCATGAGCAAAGGAGCAGACTGTGCTGCCAAGGTATCGTCGCTCCACCTCTCGATAGCTGGGCCGGATTTATTCCGAAACTATTCGGGCGCCTTATTCCCTTCGAGGACAAACATCCCCATCCTTTACTGTCTTGCGAAAAGGAGTTGAATGTTCCATCTACTTTCCAGGTTGTGAAAAAGGCTACTCCTACAGAGGCCGTCGGAGTGGTGTGCCGAGTGAACGGACGCTATCAAGTGGTCGAGTACTCCGAGATCTCCGCCGAAACAGCTCAAAAGAGAAATTCGGACGGCAGTCTGACTTTCGACGCCGGCAACATATGCAATCACTTCTTTACGTTCGACTTCCTGACTCGAGTGTCCGGGTAAGTTTCCTGCATCGTCTCATTAGTTCCTTCGACTGGGATCTTTCGACGCTCGCCCCACAGCCGCATGTTATCCCTCACGCAACCCCATCCCCTCTCTCCTATCCGATGCTCCCTCCGTAGACTCGCCGCTTGCTTGTCGAAGCTGGATATCAACGGCAACGAAGATCCGCAAAGGTAAGACGATGCCCCGCACTCTGGGTTTTGTGAGTCCTTGTCCCGCAAGGAGTCGGTTCTGGATCCCCTGTGGAGCCTGCCTCTCCCGATACCCTGAATTCCCGATTTCCTTCTTGTTCTGCACCTGTGACCCTTCTAGTTCTGTATGCATAGTTCGATCGGTTTCTTCACTTTCGAGGGAATTCCTTCTGCGAGGGGAAGGAACCGTATTTTCTTCTCACGCACGAGGAGAGAACACGGGGTAAACTCTGGAAAAAATTATCCACTAGGCTCGAATTCATTGCAGCAAAAAAGCGCTCAAGTACCACATCGCGAAGAAGAAGATCCCGTACCTGAACAATGAGGGCCAAGTGACGAAGCCCGAGAAACCCAACGGCATCAAACTCGAAATGTTCGTGTTCGACGTCTTCGAATATTCCGAGTGAGTATTCGTGAAGGATTATGTCTGTGGAGCGTGTGGAATGTCGATCACTCGATCACCCGCCGAGCCGTGGAGGAAGAGCAGGCGCCAATTTCATAGGCGAATATTCTTTCGTTTCGACTGCGGAACGCTATTAAACTCGGAGAATATGAGTTCCGGCACGCTGACGCTTTTCTTTCTCCTTTAGTAACTTCGCTGTTTGGGAGGTTCTTCGAGAAGACGAGTTCTCGCCCCTGAAGAACGCGGACGGTGCCGAGAAGGATACGCCGACGACTTGTCGGCATCACCTGTACGACTTACATCATAGATACATTGTCAATGCGGGAGGGACTTTCATCGATGAAAATGGAGCTCCCATCGCCTTGATTCCGTCGTAAGTCCTATATTTAGCGTGAGCTTTAGAACCGAAACCCAGCTCGCTCTCGTATCCATCATCATAGGCATGATGCCAAAGCGAAGGCGCATGAATTAGTCCCGATCGATGTTAATTCGGAGCACTCTATCTGTATGCAAAAATTGATTGAATGATCCTATCGAATGTTTCGACTTGATGTTCATTGTTTTACGCTCTGATTTCAGTTCCAATAGAGCTGTAAAGAGGTTTGTAGTTTTCACCTGCCTTTCCGTTTACTTTTTATGGCGATCTTGTAATGGTTACTCCGGATAGATAGCGCACGGGAGAACGAGTGGCAGTTGTAACCAGCCGAAAACTCTCTTTCTTGTGTCTTACCAATGATGAAAAAAAGTTCGGTCTATCCCGGGTCGTTGACATTCTGCTTATTCCCAACAGTGAGAAAGAGGTTCACGAGCCGATAGTGTGTGAAATTTCCCCGTTGAGATCGTATGATGGAGAGGTGAGTCTCATTCTGAATATTATGTCCTTCCGGTGACATTATACGTACCGTTCCCAGACTGAAAAACGTCTCCAATGGTTTCCAGCTCCTCGAGGATCTCGTGAAAGGGAAACAATTCCGAGCGCCACTACACTTGACCCTGGACTCCTGAGATACTTCCGGCCTGGAATTTCCCTAGAATTTCTACGATAAATCACACGTTATGCGAATCATGAATCCTTAGTTTTCTCTTTTTAGACCTGCAGCCTCAACCTTTCACATCCTCACTGGAATCTAGAATCAAATTCTTTCATGAGTATCTCCATCGTATCGCGGGAACGTAGCTCATATTGGCCGATTAAAGAGTTCCCGGGGAATTTGATCGTTCCATCTGGTATCCGCGGCGATTGACCTCAGAGCTGAGTTCCAACCGAGCTACATTTTTGAACGAGTCGAAGGAGTCATTTTGCCGAGAGACTCGAGCTGAACCTGGAGCAGAGGGGTTGCGCTTTCTATTTGTCACACAGTTCTCTGCGAAGGTCACTGAGGTCGAGTAGACCATTTCGGGAATCGTTCTATGAATGCTTAAATTCAATAAAAAATTCAGCAAGAGACAATGCGATCCTTATGGAGGACTCGGACACCCCGAGAAATGTCCTGCCGGCGACTCAGATCCGATTTCGGGTCAATAAATCAGAATAAAAGCACGAACAGCGCCTCTTCGTATTTAATGCATTGGACACATCTCGGGCGTCCCTCACTCTTCCGAAATCATTGGTCCAATATCCGTTGAGCCATAAACACGCTACACATTCCGACAGCGACCATGACACACCTGAGGGTGACCATGATTCCCGTGAGTAAACCAATCCGTTGTGCAGAATGATTTTCCAAGGATACACCACGTCTTGACTGTCAACGGAGGACGAATCCGAGATCTGTAGCAGTTTTCCAGTCCTTGTGTCCTATCCTATTGCTCACGATTTCATGACTCCATCGTCAGTGGCTGCACAGGATGTCGCTCGATAAACATGGTCAAGTCGGGGGCTACCACGGCGGACTGTTCAAAGATGTGAGTAGTCCCTCCAACCGCATCCGCGGCGAGCGAGTGATAAGACGGGGTATTCCCTCCAAAGAGCTCCGATCACCTTGGCGTACGGCCAGACTCCGACTGTGATAACGAGGGCTGAATCGCAGGTCTGCAAATTGATGAACGCGACTCATTTCGCCAAAGTGCCTGAAGACCTGACATTCGGCGACTGTAATGAGACCGCGTGCTCTGGGATGTTCGCACCCGTGTTGGCCAATGTAGGCATCCTTGAGTTGTCCATCTGAGTCCCCTACCGTCAGGTCCGATGCCGAATGGGCCAAACCCCATTCTATAGCCACCATATGAGATTTATTCCATCCGATTCGACAGGAGAGCGACATAGCTTTCGGGCCGCACAGCTACCTCAATACATATGGCCAGCATTTCGATCCCGGCTCTCCGATCACTTATGAGCAATACGTAATCATCACTGGTGAGTACGTTCTTCAAGGCTCAACGGGATTACCTGCTCGATGTGCCCGATTTTTCCGGATCTCGTTCTGCGATGGGGACTCCCCGATGAATTACATCGACGAGGACTTCTTACCGTATTCTTGCGAAGCAGGATACGGACCGCGAGGCGAGGCCAGTCCTGGGCTTGGGAACCTCTCGACCGATGTCGGCCCAAGGACAGAGGTCCTCCTGCCGACTTTTGCCTCCGCTGAGTCTTTCAATCCAGGGGCAGTGGAAGGAGTTCACCCGAAGGGTCAATTTGTCCATTCCGTAAAACAACACTCAATACTTTTGCGATTACAGGCATGAAGGTCGCTTACGGTACGGATTCGACATCTCTACTCTGGATCTTGGATCTAGGGATGTACGTGATGATGATAAGCATGCCGTGGCTTGTCGCGGCTTCGGTGTTCTTCGTGGTATGGCTACAGAACAAGCTGACAGATCCAGAGGCGCAAGACTTTGGAGTTCTCGTCGTTTCTGGTTATCAGACCATTCTGAATCAGGGTTCGTGATACTTTCGAAATCTCCGATGTATTCCTTATTTTCGGTCGGCTCGTCGTGATAGCGATTCTGGGGCGGAGCGTGAGCATCATCGGGGCTCGGGCTCGACATGGAAGCTCGCTTATGCGAGGCGTTTCGCTTCCACCTTGGAATAACTCGTCTGGCAGCGTTCACGTTAGGTCTTCCGAATTCCATTCGAGCTGTGAATAGGAATTCCGTTCGTCTCCAGGCGGGGACTTCAGCAGCAAGAGCGTGGTGAGTCGCGCCATCGTCATACTCTTCATCTTTGTGGCGTTTTTTGTGAACAACCTCTTCTCCTCCTTCATCAAAGCGTCGATGGTGATGAAACCCCCAACCAAACGAATATCCTACATCAAGGAGCTCGTGAAGGAAACGAAAATACGGCCAGCCATCACCGCGAACTCCTACCTTACAAACCTCATAAGGGTGAGTTCTCAATCAGCCGGAATCCCCGTCCTACTGAGCGCCATTCCTCCTCGAACAGTCCGGAGGGATGCGCGCAGACACAAGGGCGTTATCAATTGCAGTCTTTAGATCTTGCGAAAAAACTACGAAAAAATAAACCCATTTAGATCCAAGGAGATGCCAACCCAGACTACAAGGCTCTCGCGAACATGTTCGACAGATTTGGTCTTCCTGCAACTCCGCAGGAAGTCTTGTCACCTGCTGTGACGAGGGGAATCTTCAACGGTACCTCCTTCACGATTCTCGATTGCGAACTCTTCAAGTACTTCTTCTATTATGGGTGGCAAGCGAATGAGGACACCCGAGGGGCCTTCTATTACTGCGCAAAGGACTTTGTGATGGTCATCCACGCTACCTGGTATTTCAATCGTCATACGCTCCCAAAGCAGTTCGTTCGCGAATTTAACAGAAAGTAAGCAAGCAGAGAGGGGTTTGTGGTATCTCACCTTCCTTTCCGTGCATTCAAAGCACCGAGATGAGGAATCCACTGGAATCCCTCAAATGTACTTCGTTCCCGGCAGGACCAATTGGCTGATGGAATCGCCGTCGCGATACGTACGGGAGTACTCATTGCCGCAAATTCCTCCGTGGTCGAGAGTGTACGACAATCCCATCAACGAGGATAATGACGATCCGATTACTCTTCAAGAGACTGCGGGATCGCTATTCATATACTTAGCGGGGATAGGCTCGTCATGTATATTTTTCGGTCTCGAATGTTTGTATCATTTTGCTTGGAAAAATCTCGAACGATATGCGGGATTTTCCTCGACCATGTACTCAGCTATAGCATGAAAACTCCGACTCTCGAGGGGAGCCTCATCGACATCTTACTTCTCATTAGTCTGATTGAGTTCCGGTTGAGGATATCAGATTACTTAGAGATTCTCAAACCTTAGTCCGAACGACCTCCACAGACAAGAAAGAAATCGCATGATGAAATGTATTGTACTCTTTTCTTGCACCGTAAGCAAGGTCATTATTCTCTGCGCTGCGTCGTTCGTACATGATTTGTGAGATTGTTGGAGCGTCTTCGGAATCTCTTCAAGTCTCCCATAGGTTTCGGAACAGCAGCACCCGATCAGAGCTCGTCAGACAAGGATTTGCGGAGGGGCCGTGGATTACAGTCCGGGGAAGGATGAAGTCCAAGATAGGCTTGGTGATGAGGGGGAAATCTCGGTTCCGATTCGATCGGCGAAAAGGGATATCTGCAGGAATTTCAGCTCCGAGATTCGAGAGCACTCAACTCTACCTATCTGGTGGGTTCAGGCGCGAGCCCAGGATTTTGTTTACGGGAGGCGGGGCAGGGTCATTGTCTCGGTAGGGGCGAACCCCCGATGATGATGAGCCTCAAACGGAGCCCTATATACCGGAAGGAGATCATGAGGGGGTTGCTCTCCCTTCACATTGGGTGGCTTGCGGAAAGCTCGACCGGGTCGTTCAATTTATCGCTGCTTCGATCTCGTATACAAGTCGTAGGGGAGAATGGTTCGCCCGATTGTCACGAGTCTCGTTCATCGATCGGCCGCCGCTCCGAGATCTCTGCCGCGGTCATCAATCATTGGTGATACTCCTTAATTTTGAGGCAATACCAACAGCGAACAACTACCCTGAAGTCTCGGAGTTCAGCTTTCTCCGGTTGTCGTCGTTGAGAACTCTCAACCCCTTTGCTTCGGTGGGAAAATGCCTCATCTGAGAGTCTCCTATATTCCTGTTAGTGATCCACCAAAGTGACGGAGTATTCTGCCTTCAAGATAGTGACGATTCGCATGTTAAGGGTAGGTAAAGATACAGACGCCGTACATGAACAGACCCACTTCCGTTGCAGTTTTCGTTCGCAATCAACGGAGCGGAGAATCAGGTCGGAGGATTTCATGGCGGTATCTTCGATGCGGTGAGGAGAACCGAGTTCGGATCATATCTGATAGGGGAAAACATTTCAGACTCGGCGCGTAATCTCCTCTCTAACCTCTTCTCAAGGTCTGCTCGCTCATGAATACGACATACAGTGCGAAATTGCCTCCCGACCTGTCTTGGGGCGACTGTGACGAAACCTCTTGTTCCGGGATGTTTGCGCCTCTAATAAGCAATGTAAGGAAGAGCACTCTTCTCATGAATCACTTCCTTCCGATCCTCCAATATCGGACTTCCTCCAATCGCTCAGCGGCCGACAGATCGAAACCTACATCAACACGGCTGCTAATCGCCGTTGAGGCTAATGAAGAATCCATGATTGAGTTCGTTTTTTTCGCGATCCGGCTTCCAGGACAGCGACGTTGCCTTAGGTCCTCACTGTCTCCTCGACACTTACGCTCGACATTTTGAGCCCGGAGCTCCGACGAACTTCGAACAATTCGACATCGTCACGGGTACTTATATCGGATGACCGCCATTCATAGGTCAATCACCAGGACATGTTCCCGTATCGTTGATATTCGCCACTTCAAATCTAAATATCGGGGCTGTAAAATTTCCAGGCATGCGCACGGCTTACGGAATAGATTCCGCATCGGTTCTCAAAGTCCTGGACACCGGAATGTACATCCTGCTGCTCCTGCTGCCTTGGCTCGTGGCCGGCCTTGTCATGCTGGCTGCCCGCCTCCAGAGCATTGCGAGTTTCAACGAAGTTCGAGAGAATGACATCGACGCCGGTGTTCTAGTCATCGCGGGCTATCAAACTATGCTGAATCAAAGTAGGATGGGTTTCTCTTACTAACTGGGTCTCGGATGGTGTGAAAAAAAGGCTCCTCCAAGCCAAGGGCTTGGGCCGTCAAATTCCTCTTTGATATTGACTTTGGGCTGATCTTGGT